GTGCATTCGAAAGTAAAGGTGAGTATGGCGGAGTTAAAAACTGTGTTGCTTGCCCGTTTTCTAATGGAAACGGGCGAACCAAAGTGCTAATTTGGGGTTTCAACGTATCATGAGCCGAGATATGGAGTCGAATTTTACGTATGATTGGTAGATTGGTGGAAGTAGGATGTGCGGGTTGCGCCAAGCATACGGGTGGCGGACAGGTTGAAGTATGGTGTATCCCCCCGGGTTCTAGCGGAGGGTTCGTTGTGACCTTACGCGGAAGGAGTGAGAGGTAATATCCGTGGGGAAATAGAACGGCGAGTTTATGGCGCCGTATTACCATACATGCATCTGCCTGGGTCCGAGCGGAAGATTCATTCCCACTCTTTTCCGTTTTCTTTCTTCTCGTCTTTTTCCCTTTTTCTTCCTTTTTGTAGTTGTTCGTACGGGGTACGGTCCTCTGCAGTAAGCGACATAGAGAGAGGGAGAGAGAGAGAGGGAGGTCACCTATCGGCCACCTACCTGGTCGGGCTGTGCCTGTAGGAGGACGGGCGCTGCAGGGCGGGCAACTACGGATTGGAGGATTACCCGTTGACCAGCACATTACCCGCCCACCGATGAAAGAAGCCACTATTCACCTATCAACTGGCCAAAATGAGCGGTAGGGGCAACAGGCTGGGCTGGTGGCCAAGGTATGGCCCGTCCTAACAATAGGGATGCGAGACAGCAAGAAAGAAGACGCACAGGACAACGGGAGGACCGGGAGGTGCGTGTGCCAGGAAGGAAGAAAGGGCGTACCTAGTGAGATGGTAAAAGTTGTCGTTGGCCAATGCATTTCGGGCCAGCGAGCACGATGTTATGGTTTGAAGATTCGCCATAGGGTCTGATCCAGCGGGTTGACGTCAATTTGACTAGCAGCTTGGAGTGGTGATCAGGCTCCACAAGTGAAGCTACTGTTGGTGATTGCCGCGGCGGCCGGAGGCATACGGCAGCGACTGCTGCTGCTGTAACCGCTGCTGAGTGTGGGCGGACTATGCACCGCTGCTGCAGTTGTTGACCAGGCACAGGTTGTTGCTGCGTAATACTACTGGTTGCCGCTGTGTACCATTGCTGTTGTCAAGGCTGACAGTGCACGGGCCGT